CCTTCTATTTGAACTCAAGTAACAGTTCTTGTAAACATATCTTCAATGATTTGAATATAAGTCAAATCAACAACTTTTTCTCAAGAACTCTCCAAAGGATATCTCTTGGAACCTTACCGAAAGCTTTTTCCAAATCAATAAAAATCATATGTAGATCCTCCTTATTATCTCTGAACTTATCCATCAAACCTCTCAATAAATGTATAGCTTCCATAGTAGACCTGTCTGGCATAAATCCAAATTGATTATGAGAAATCTTTGTAATACGTCTTAACCTATGTTCATCCCATAATTTTAAAGTAACATCAACATAATTTCTATATAATTGGCACACTCTTATGCATCCCTTTATTCTTAAAAATGGGGACTAAAATACTCTTCCTCCACTCCTCAGGCATCTTTTTTGCTTTTAAAATAATATTAAAAAGTTTAGTAAGCTAAAAAACTCCTAAATATCTCAAATATTCTCCGGCATTTCCATCTAAATGCCCTCCAGTAGAAATTTTTTCTTCAAAAGGTATCATTTGTATTAAGTTTTCTAAATCATTCCAGAATTTATCTTTAAAAGCCATATATATAAACCTATTAGAGGAGCATAAGCACATATAATATTAAAAATCTTCGTATCAACAATCATCTAAAAGGTTATAATTCTATCTCCAACTCTATTAATTTTTACAACATTATCTTCCAACTCTTATCTACAATTACACCCACCCCATTCCTAGTGCGACTTTTACCTGCACACCAAAGTTTAAAAGCTAAGTTATCAATCTCCTTAGTTTTCACCAACCCATTTAGTTTCTTGAACACATATAATATTTATCTTTCTATGAATCATAATATCAACTAGTTCATTAATTTACCAGTAAGAGTTCCAATATTCCAAGATCCTATCCTAATATTAGTTTCATGGACTAACTTTTTTATCTGCATTCATCCGTAATATGAAAACCCTTGTTTATTTAACACTACGGGTACCGGTGCAGCGGCGCTTGCACACTTTTCACTTTATTCAGGTCATACGACGCGTCGCTTCCGTGGGACACCCTTGCACTTACACAATGATAAAAAAAGATTTATGTCATGATTTTTTAGACAATTTTACGCTTGTTTTCGACTACCTAACGCAACCCTCCACTAGTCACATTCGAGCTTGGGACCAGTAATGGCGGTGTTCAATGAATGTGATGAATAAAAATTTTCAAGTAATATCTTGTTTAGTTTGTAACATTATTTACTAATAAATATTAGTTTGTTCCAAGAATAATAATGATCGTGTGAATCATTTGAGAATTATATTGGGATTATCGAGAGAGTGTAAATTATTTTTAAATTCACTAAATATGAGTTTTTTGTTGCATTACCTTTTTTAAGCATATCATTAGTACCGAAGATATATCACTGGATCCAAAATAGGTGAGAGCAATGGTAGAATGATTAAGACTGACTTGTGTGACAGAATTCAGAAGTTGATTAGCTGGCTATTTCAGAAGATTTATAAGAAAATTTATAAATTGCACCATCTTTATTAAAACTCTGAAGGAAGATGTTAAAATTTTGTTGGAGATATGAAAGTGAGTAGGGCAAAAGTTTAAGAAATGTTTGAAATCTGCACCAGTGCTGACAATTCCACTATAACAAAAATAATTTTAAATATACAATAATTCTTCTTTAAAAAGTTTGATTTTTGTTCTAAAGCAGAATAAGACTGACAACTAAAACCATATGAAATTAATTACCCACACATCATTTGGAATAACTGTAATGGTATTGTTTTGAAAATTCAGTAGCATTATCTTTATGAAGTAAAATGTAAAAAATTCACTAATCATGAAGTTTCAAATATATTTTTACTTAAAAAAATCTAATTCAAGGCAATACAATATTATCCTAAAGAGACCAATTTGATATCTGATATATTCAGTAGTAAATTTAATGGATATGCAAATTAAATAATAACTGAAGAAGCATATCTGATCGGAGATGTTGAAGCTTTATAGTTAGAAGTTAGAAAACATAGTGATCAGGATGCAGGTAGTTTGTATCAAATGAACATTCACTAGGCGCTTGAAGGTATAATCAAAGTCACATAAATGCTGACACTGAATAGCAAAAACTAATTGATAAAGTATAGATAAGTATAAGTAAGGACCTCAGTATAGATTATCATGGAGTAATTAGTAGTTTATATTTGTGGGTATCAAAAGATTCAAGCTTAATCTAGGAGATTCTACATAAAGCTCATAATTCAGGTTGTTAAATTCACCCAAAAAATACAAAAATGTGGTAACATTCTAGTGACCTGGAATGATAAAAGATGCAGCTGAATATGTAGCAAATATGAGGCTTGTCGGGCAGTTAAAGAAGAATACCAACAAGTCTATAGTATGTTACAATCACTGCGATATCAGAGAAATTAAAAGAGTTAGCAATTGATTTTATCATACGTTCTCTCAAATTAAGGCAACAGCATGATTACATTTGAGTTGTAATTGATTTATTAATAAAATCAGCACACTTCTTACCTATTTGTTAGATTAATTTTGTAATAAAATTAGTAAAGATATTTGTGAATAAAATTACCAGATTCCATAGAATTTCTAAAATATTGTATCAGACAAAGAAGATAGATTTACATCCAAAATGTTGGGATGTATTCATAAATATATGAGTACTAAACTACGTTTTGGCATAACATTTCATTTCATCCACAGATAGATGATTAATCAAGAATAACCATTCAAGTGTTAGAATAGTGATTAAAGTTATTTGTTCTAAATTTTGGTGGAAGTTTATTTATAATAATAGCTACCATTCAAGCACCTAGAAGGCATCATATGAGGCATTATATGATAGAAAACATAGAATTCGATTGAGTTGGGTTAAAATTAGAGAGAAATAGCTATTTTGGTCACACTTAGTTGATCAAAGCACGAACAAAATCTAGGATATCAGAGAAAAATTGAGAGCAACCCAGATTCATCAGCAGAAGTATTATGATCCCAAGCATAAAATGATAGAATTTAAAATGAGTGAATTTGTTCGATTCATGAAAGCTATAGCCAAATTTGGCTAGGAAATCTATGTCCCGGATACATTGGGTTATTTGAAGTTATTTAAAAAATTAGAAATGTTGCTTGCAGATTAGCATTGTTCATAGGTATTTCAAATGTAAGAAATATTTTTCATATATCAACGCTCAAAAAATGATTTGCAAATGTACATCAAAAGATACCACATAATGAAACTGAAATACAAAAAAATATGTCTAACACGGAAGACCAAGAAAGAGTACTAAAATTCGATGATAAAATGCTAAAAGATAGACATATCCACTTTATAAAAGGAAAATGGTAACACAGATCAGAGAAAGAAGCAACCAGAGAATAAAAACATAATATTAGAATAATAAAATTTGATGTTAAGAAGCCAAAAATGAATAATCCTTTCTGTAAAAAAAAATTGTGCAAAGTTCCAAAAAAAATATAATAATGAGAGATGAATTTTAATATCTAAAATTTAATAAGGCACAAGTGTAAAATATCCCAAATAAATTATACAACGAATTTCAATTTTTTTCAAAAATCATAAAAAAAATCTATTTCATCATATTGTATTCTTGAAAACGAACATTGTAATATATAGAACTATATGATAATTTTTAAAAAAGGGGAAGCTCTGAAATTAGCTTTTCTTTTTACAAATTAGAAAAATTATTGGAATAAAAATATGATGCAATATGTAGGGGTTTGACTTGTCTTTTAAAACACATGAAGTATTGCTTAAATGGCTACTATAACCTCTCTTTCACTCTCCAAATCTGTGATTTTAAGAAATTGGCTCAAATCCCAAGGCACAAAACTATCTATGGTAAACCCAAAAAAAACAAATTTTGAGCTCTACCTTTCTCTTGGTTTTGACAAGCAAGGTTCAACCAATTCTCATCTACCCAAGAGAAACCCCATGGAAGATATCTTAATTAAAAACCTTAATTCAGGTTTACGATCATCATTTCGCAAGCATCCCTTCATACTTTTGTTGAATACATCAACATAGTTCGTAGATTGTTATTGATGGGATACAAGAAATAAGCACAAATTCCCATCATCATCCACCACAATTTGGTGATTTGAATGAAACCATACTTTCAAACGACCCTACAATTCCAGGAAAGCATATGCAATCAAAAATTCATAATTATTCAGTGCCATAATTCCATATCACAAAAAAGTGGCTCCTTACAACTGATGTGGTAACTAGGATAGTGGAATGGAGTAACACACGAATTCACAGGAATTTAAATCATTTAATGCAAGAAAAAAAATTAGAAGTAACTTGAGTTTGAATATTTTTAACACTAGAAAATTTTTAGATAAACTGAGCATTTTGAAAACTAATGGGGATGGATATAACCTCCTTCAAACATATAAGAACTTGATTTGGCATGCCCATGTAATTGCTACAAGGTTTTAAGACACATTACAAAGTAGCGGCCAGTATCAAAAAGATATGTGAAGTGGCACACTAATATTTGTCAGCCGCCATCTAATTATTTTGGTGGTTCAGCATGTTCCATGCTTTTGACCCATTTCCCTTTAAAATATTCGGTCATTCAAAATATTACTGTGTTACTTGAGTAAAAAGCTGAAGTTCTACAGCAGCAACCTGTCATCAGTGATCCAGGCTGCAGTTTAATAATTATTTCTGTAAAAATCTTTCTGCAACACTGTTTAAATGCTTATACCAACCCATTTAACTATATTTATTTACCGATGTGAATTTCCATATTATAGACACGTCCTAAATCTATCATTTTAACTTTTTTAAATGCGCTGTAAATAAAACAACTTAAATTCATCAGGAGATGATAAAAAATTGCAAACGGCAATAAAATTCATATGAATCACAATCTGGATCTTCTGCATACATTAACATGAGGAGTGATCACCAAAGCATAAAATGTACAGGTCTAATGGAAAGGCTAATTGAAACAACACCTTTTCCACTGCTTTTAGCGAGCTTAGGCAACCCGTGGACCTGAAGCCGAGTCTTGATTACATCCAATGGGCACACAAAAGTCGCAGCAATCACACCTATGAAAATAATCCCAAATTTCTGATAATAATCAATCAACCCGTGGAAATAATTTTAAATGAATCAAACCCCTCACGGCCTCAACATTCAATGCGATGTTGGGCAATTCGAACCAACTACTCTGAGCCATGTGTTCAAATTCATCACAACATCCTCGAAAATGAAGCGTACCCGCGGCTGCGCCGGCAGCGGCGTTGCAGAGAAGCCCTCGTGCGCTATGCGATTCTCCAGCCATTACTTCTAGCGGATCCAATGAATATGTACAAGTCAGAGCTTCGAAATCCTAGGGTCCCCTCCGTCGTAAAGTAGGTTGCGCCGACACAAAGTCGCATGGCAAGGAAGCTGAAACGGTATTAACCGGTAAGAGATCCATGCGGGAGGTCTCCTCTTAAACTAGAGATAGAATCGGATAGCTTTCCCGGGGACCTAATTGCTTCATGGAGGCCAAAGCAGCAGAGAGCTCGCTAGATATCCCGAATGACACTCTTCCTCTCCCTCCCCGATACGGCTATACCCTTCGGATAATCAACTTAGATCTGATAGGTGCTAAAAAAAAAAAGGGTCTCCAATCCTACGGTGCGGGTTAGGGAAAAAAATTGCTACACAGCACTGCGTGCGGTATTAGGGTATATCAAGGGTACAATGGGGTTACATCCACAGTATAAGCCCTTGTAACTTCCATGTAATCTCCCTGTAACTTACGTGTAACCTCTTAATATATGATAACAGAAGCGCGAAACTTATTTATGGTACAGATAGATTACAACAAGTTACAGGGAGGTTACAAGGGGCTATACCATGAATGTAACTCCCGTGTACCCTCGGTTAACCCCAATATCGCACGCACCGCTGCGTACGTCTATCGCACGCAAATTTTTTCCCCTGGTGCGGGTTAGGGAAAAAATTTGTGCGGTATTAGGGTATATCGAGGGTACAATGGGGTTACATTCACAGTATAAGCCCTTATAACTTCCCTGTAATCTTCCTGTAACTTACGTGTAACCTCTTAATATATGATAACAGAAACGCGAAACTTATTTATGGTACAGATAGATTACAACAAGTTACAGGGAGGTTACAAGGGGCTATACCATGAATGTAACTCCCGTGTACCCTCGGTTAACCCCAATATCGCACGCACCGCTGCGTACGTCTATCGCACGCAAATTTTTTCCCCGAGTTAGAGCCCGTTTGGGGCAGTTGAAAACTCCACCTCACAGTTTAGATGGCAATTTATCTGAAAATGTGATTATATTTTACACTAAATGTAAGTCACGGGTCGAACTTGTGGGCCACCCGCGAGTCACGTTTCAGGATAAACTACTTATCTAGATAAGCACAAGCTTCCCCAACGCACTCTTATAGTGTGTTTGGAGCAGCTGCAGCTTAATGAATAATTTGCAGATAAGCTGATTAAAAATAATTTGTTAATAAGCTAGGTGCAGTTGCTATTTTAAGTTTTTTTTTTTTTTAAAGTTTGACTGCAACCAGAAAGCTGTCACCGCACCTAGTGTGGTGCGGAGTAAATAAAGTTGTTTTCAGCATTTTGAAAATGTATAAGCTGCCAAAAGGCAGTTTACCCAAACAGATCATGTGCATTTTTAAAACGACAGTTTACCCAAACAGATCATGTGCATTTTTAAAACGCCACCGCACTAATAAGCTGCCCCAAACTGGCCCTTAGGGTCGGTTTGAGGCAATTGCAGCTTATTAGTTTATAAACTGCAAGCTGTCCCAAAAAGCTGTGTGGGTAAGTTGTCTTGATGTTTGTTTTGTGCAGTTTAAAAATAGTTATTTTTTGAATAAATTATCATTCTGTCGCTGTATAGTAACATTGTTTGTAATAGAAACATTCTAGCAAATATATTTGATACTTCAGAAGCAAAAAATCACTTCATAACTGTACAAAATTCAGATAAACACATCACATAACAGTGAGTATTAATATGCTATAAAAAAGAAAAAAAATTATCAAAATTACAAATAGTATTATGACAATATTGATTTTATAATGCAGACGACGCATGTCATGAGCTATGCCGCCCTCCAGAGATGCTATTCAGCCCCGATCACTATCAGCAATGGAATCTACAAGACTGCCTGCCCATCGAAAGAACTCACACTTCTTCGGAAATCCTGAAGAGGTGTGAGGTCTCTGATAACTCAGTTTATAAACATTGGTTGGTGTCACAGGAATCTACAAGTTCGCAGTAGCAGAGCAATCCTTGGAATGTCCATGAAATCCTAAAGCTCATCTTTCAACAATGTTATAAAAGACAGTCCATTAGTCATAACGCAAGTTGAAATTGCTAGAAAAAGTAATAAGTTATAGTCTTAAGTAGGTGTGAGGTCTCCGATAACTCAGTATACAAATTAGCAAATCTGTCACTACAATAAGACAACAGACCTTGTAAAAAAGGAGTTAGTGGTTGTCTTTAACCCACGTAAAACCAAGCTCACATGTATCATATATGCATGTCACCAAAAAAATATCATCCAGAAAATCTAAAAAAACCATATCGCCAAAAATAAGATAGGAACTTGGCTGACTTTATTAGGATTTCACATGTAACACCGACCAAAAACGACTAACAAGGCATCCAAAAGAACCCATAAAGTCAGAAGTCTCATCATGAACCTCTCAAACCATCTAAAAGAAAAAAAAATTAAATTCAAATGAAAAAAAAAACATAAGAACAGCATAAAAAGCCCAAACAATCAATCCAAAATATACTAGGAAGGGAAATAAAGGCAAATGTACAAAATAATTAAGTAAAAATTAATAAATGAAGTAAGCAATAACAGTTCTGTACTGGTGAGAGGTCTTAGAAAACTCTGTACACCACCTAACCAATCTATTATTGTGAATCTGTCACAACAAGAGGACGGCTGACCTTATAGAAAAAAAGTTCTTTGCTTGCCTTTAACCCACTTAATACAAAGCTCATGCCAGTCACATATTTATATCACCAAATAAGGCCTTCCAGAAGAACCTCAAAACAGTATCGCAACGAAAATAAAAGAGAAACTTGGTTGCTTCATTAGAATTTCACATGTGACACCAACCAACAACAATCAATAGGTCATCCGAAGAACCCTTAACGCCAAGCTTCTCATCATCGACCCCTTAAATCCACCAAAAAAAATAAGTGAAATGCAAATGGAGAAAATAAATGTAATGCCTCACTTCATAGAGTGTGTCTGTGTGAGGAAAATAGCTTTTATTAACATAACATTTGCAATTCAGTTTGCATGAGCAAGCTCAAATATATCAAAATTATACATGCCCCCTAGCAGTGAGCATAAAGATGATTGAAAAGATGATCTATGTCTTCTCTTATAGTAATTTTTCATTATATGCCCCAAGGGGTATCAGTAAAGAATTTCAGTAGAAAAGCATAATATTCTATAACAGAAATTTTTTGAGGTGATCTTATACAATGTCTCACTTTAGAGAGTGGGTGTGTGTGATAAAAAATGCTTTTCATAGCATAAGTTTTCTTATTAGGTTTGAATGAGCATGCTCAAACATACCACAACTATACATGTCTCCTAGTAGTGAGCATAAAGATGTTAACAAAAATAATTTGTGCCCCTCTTACAATAATTTTTCATTATATACCCCAAAGGGTACCGGTAAAGAATTTTAGTAACAAAACATAATATTCTATCACAAAAGTTTTATGGGCTTTTCTGATGTAATGCCTCACTTAAGATAGTGTTTGTGAGAGAGAAAGAAATGCTTTTATTGGCATAACATTTGAAATTAGTATGTCTGAGCATGCTTAAACCAACCACAACTATACATGTCTTCTAGCAGTGAGCATCAAGATGATGACAAAGATGATCTGGGTCTATTCTTACAAAAATTTTTTCATTAAATGCCCTAAGGGGTATTAGTAGCAAAACATAGTATTCTATCACATAAATTTTTTGGGGCTATTTGATGCAATGCCCACTTCATAGAGAGAGTGTGTGTGAAAAAAGTCCCTTACATTGCATAACATTTGCAATTCAGTTTGCCAAAAACTTGATGCAGGTAGATTTAGTGTGTAAATTTTGTAAATATTTTTAAATATTACAAAATACACACGACAGATATAACAATAAATATGCAATATAATCCCAATTAAAATACCTTTTATGAAAATAGTTTATCTTTAAAACTCTTTTTAAACTGCCAAATCCTTTTTAAATGCAAGTATATGTATCGCTCAAGTATCGCTCAAGTAATAAAGGGCTCTAATGGAGTCCTAGATATCAATCCCACGAGGAAGTTGGAAAAACCTATAAGTAAATTCTTGATATTATTTTATAAGTTAAAAATACAAAAATAAAAGTAAAGTGCAAAGTTTGAATATTAACTACTAAAGTGAATGCTATATAAAATGCAGTTGAAAGACAGAGTTAACTAATTAAAAACTAAACTTTCAAATGTAAAATTACGAAAAACTAAATAATGTTTTTGTTGATGGAAGATTCAAATTTAAAAATGCATTTTTCCCCTTTACAATGAGTATATGGCTTATGAAGAGATTAAAATCATTTGAAAAAATATTTAAAAACTATTTTATGCCAAATAGGAGCAATCATAGTCTTTAACCTCTCGCGAGTTCAATAAAGAACATTGACTACTCCAGAGTTTGGTACCTAATTTTATAGAGTTTGGTCCAGTTGATTGGAAACTAATGCGAGATTGTTAGCCCTCAGGGAAGGAAGTAGTAGGAGCTCTGGAGTGGCAGCTATCCGTCACCTTAAAATCTCCAATTCCGCATCAAACAAAGTATATTTACCTATTTATTTGCACTCAATTCTATGGATTACATGCTCTCTCATGAAATCAAATATGATTCTCCCCCTGTTGTAGAAATCATAGCCCTTTTCAGAACATATGTTTCTCAACATGTTTTAATATCTCAATTGGCCATATCGAAAAGTAAATGAAGATCGAAGTTCAAATCATCACAAATTATTAACATTTAAAATCATAGAAAATAAAATTAATTGTTCACAAAACCATATCTCAAAGTAGGGAGAGGATAAAAAAGAATACTCAAAATTCATGAGACAGATACGAAAAAACACGGATTTCATATATAAAAACAGGTTTACAAAATAAAAGAAATAAAAGACAACTTATCTCACAATCTTTCCCAAGCAAATTCCTTGAAGTTCTCTCCAAGCATTTCTCTCTTTACAAGCATACTAAATTCTCTCTTAGAAGTGCAATGAAGAAGAAATCTCTCACCTTCTCTCTCCTCTTACAACCCTAAAAGAAAATCTCCTCGTCTCTTCTCCTTGCCTATCACACCACCCCCACTTTCTTTCCTTTTTGTCCCCTCCTAGACTCCTTGAAGTCTTCTTCTTTTATTTTAGGTTGACTCCTTTCAAAATGAATTTAAAAATCCCTCCAAAAATCCCTCCAAAAGAAAACTCTTTTGAATTCAAAAGATGTGTCATTTGATCCAAGAGACATATCCCTTCATAAAAGAACATTCGAAAGTGTCTAGATGCATTAAATTACTTCAATGTGTG